AGTTTAGGGGCTTATTTGACCATTTTCCCTAAGGTGGTGTTTGGTTGGATGGGAAATATTTTTCATGGAAAATGTTTTTTTTTTTTAAGTGGAGGAAAATGGTGTTTTATGTTGTTTAGTTGGATGGGAAAAAATTTCCTAGCTCATCCTCAAGAATGAGGAAAACAATTTCCTAGCTCATCCTAGGTATTTTGTTTTCGATGAAAAAAGTTTTCCATGAAAAACTAGTTTGACAATTTTGTCCTCACCATACTTTATTAATTACTATTAGGGGGAGTTTTGTTCATGAAATGTTATATTACCTTAGGGAATGTTAGATTATTTGGAATGCTAAATTTATGTGTTTGGTTTAAAACTGAGATATGTAATAAAAATCTATTTGGCTTAAGAGTTATTATTATTATTTTTTTATGTTATGATGATTATTTTACTTGAATACCGTGAACCTATTTTTATGTATTTTAATAAATTTCAAAATTAAAATAAATAAATAAGATAATGGTAAAATATAGAAATAAATGATTTAAAATTAATTAACTAAGAGTTTAAACAATAATTAACTAAGGCGATTTATTAAAATTACGAAATTAACAATAAGACAAGAGAATGTAATAATACTTAAGAAAGGAGAGGGTATCTCACGTTTTATTGAAATTGCATAACTTGAACCAAACATTTCTCTCTCTCTCTCTCTCTCTCTCTCTCTCTCTCTCTCTCTATATATATATATATATATATATATATATATATATATATATATATATATATATATATATATATGGTTGAGTTCAAATGAGGACAACAATATATAAAGGACTGTGAGGACAAATTATGGGCACACAACAAATTAATACCAGGCACACAACTTAATATATAATGGCACACAAGAAAAAATGTAAACATCGGGTTTCGAACCCAGGCTCTATAAATTAAAAAATCTAGCACGCGTCATATAAACTGTGGCACACGACTACATTCGGTCATGCACACGACATACCAGCTAATGACACAGACTACATTTGTCCTCACAGTCCTCTATAATATACTTGTCCTCATTTGAATATACAACTATATATATATATATATATATATATATATATATATATAAAAGCAAAATGAAGTAGGGACAAAAATTTCCAGCCAAATGAGATTAGCAATATGAATGCATTTATTGTGTTCACATTTATTGGTAAAGTTTTATATTTAATATAATTTGTGTATATATTCATTTAAACATAGACAATAATAACCTAATATGGTAGCTCAAGTGGCAAATGAGCTCTATTTGTTGGGGAAGACACAAGTGATGATTCCCGAAGGGCAAATCGGACCTGCACAATTAAACGGATAGAGAAAGAGACCCGGACCACCTTGTGGTTTATATAAAAAAAAACAACTATAATTAATTTGACTCCACATATAAAAAAAAAGGAGAAATTAGATATAAAATAAATAATCTTTTTCAAAAGAATAAGTTTTTGGTAGATATTTTCGACAAATATTGCCTGTTATTTTATTTACAAGTTTTATTTAAATACGTTAGCTATGTAATTAAATTAGTTATTTCAACTTTTATAAATATTAAATAGAGAAAATTTCAATTTTGATCCACTGACTATTTGAGTTGTGTTAATTGCAACACCTGACTTTAAAAAATGTTAATTTGGTACCTTGACTATGCGATTTCTATCAATTTTGGTCACGCCGGCCAAATTACCGGCGAATTGTGACCGGAAAATGTGAAATCAACATTTGAACTAAATTAGAAGGGGCAAAATCGTCTTTTCTTGTTCCTTCCAATTTGGGACATTGAGTTATTGACCAAAATTAAAACTGCTTCCCTGTTCCCGTCGGCGATGTCGACAACGGCGGTAATCTCCAAATCCACGCCGCCATCAACGGAGGAGGCGACACCGACGGTTGTACTGTGGATCGTCCAAATTCAAATCTCCGCCCAAATACGACTACTTGTTCTGTGGATCGCCCCTCTACGGCAATTTGAGTCCACAGAGGATACGATAATGGATAGCGTACCATCCGATTATTCAGCGAGAAGTCACATTCCGTGATCTACGACGCCTGCGGTGCACACCCGGCGGTAATGGAGGTTCTCCGGCCGTGGATGGAGAAGGGCTATGTCACATTACAAGACGTCAAGGAGGAAGAGCAATTCGACGGGTACTACCACAACCCATTCCTAATCGTAAACGATTGCCTTCATAGATACAAATTTCAGGCGAAATGGATGTTCTTCTTCGATATCGACGAGTTCTTCTTCTTCGATGTCGACGAGTTCTTCTTCTTCAATGTCGACGAGTTCATCTTCAAATCCGTCATGGATTCCCTCTCCGCCTTCACCCAGTTCACGATCAAGCAAATGTCGATGTCCAACAAACTCTGCCTCATAGAAAACGCCGGAAATGGGGGTTCGACATTGGAATGAACAAGACGCCGAGAACACCGCCGGGAACAGGGAAGGGGTTTTAATTTGGTCAATAACTCAATTTTCCAAAGGAACAAGAAAAGACGATTTTGCCCCTTCTAATTCAGTTCAAATGTTGACTTCACATTTTCCGGTCACAATTCGCCGATAACTTGGCCGGCGTGACCAAAATTGATAGAAATCGCATAGTCAAGGTACCAAATTAACATTTTTTAAAGTCATGTGTTGCAATTAACACAACTCAAATAGTCAGTGGACCAAAATTGAAATTTTCTCATATTAATTATTACATTGTATAGTTATACTTACATTTTTAATAAAATTAATTCTGCTTAGTATCATAGCATACAACAATACCTATAAATTTTTGTCAGTGTATCGCACAGGGCAAATACTACTTACTTATTGTTATAGGTAGAGCCGTCAAAACAGGCTTAGCCCGTCCCGCCCCGCGAAAAGGGCGGGGCGGGCTTTGATATTTTGAACCTGTATTTTGGCGGGCTTTTTAGCCCGCCCCCACCTAACTCGCAGGCTTTGGCAGGGCGGGCTTGGCGGGCCGGCGGGGGCCCGCTAAATGTATAATAATTGAATTTTATATTTCTAATATTAGTATATATGATTTGTTATTGATTTATAGATTAACACATGTATTTGATTATTTATTACTCCGTAGTTATTATTGTGTTTAAAAAATTACAAATGCATTAAAATATGTTTAAACTATCTAAATTATTTTAGCATACACTTATTACCTTTTTATATTAATTTTCAGAAAAAATTACACTTTTGGTCCTGTGACTATAGGGAGCGTGTTAATTTCGGTCCATGACTTTTAAAACTAACAATTTAGACCTTTAACTATGCTTTTTTTAGCAGATTTGGTCCTCCCGGCCAAATCACCGGTGAATTTTCGCCGGAAAAATGTAATCCATTTTAAATTAAATATAAGTGGGGGCAAAATGGTCATTTCGTCACCTCCTGCTTCATTATAGCTGCTCGCCGGGGATCGCTATCAGAATAAATACAGTACATTTTTACCGGCAAAACAAATCTCGACCGTCAATGTTATTTTTGGCCCGAAAAACATGGAATTTTACTTATAAGATTTCAGATCCAATCTCACAATAAATACTGCGCCAGCATCACTGCTTCATATATTTCACTTCTTTCATCTCTCTCTCTCTCTCTAAAGATTGAAGAAGAAGATTACTCTTTTCTGTCTGTCTTATATATACGCGATGGGTTTTCCGGCGAATGGGTCATCGGAAAAGACGGCGTTGAAGTTCCTGATCTACGGGCGGACGGGGTGGATTGGCGGCCTGCTGAGTAAGTTGTGCGAGGGTCAAGGGATCGAGTACGCGTATGGGTCCGGGCAGCTGGAGAACTGAAGTTCTTTGGAGGCCGACATCGCCGCCATTAATGTGTATAGTACAACACAAATGGAAATTTTCGCATATTTCACCAGGCTCCGGAGTTCGTTGGAGGCCGACACTCGGTTGCACCGTTAATGCGTACCGTTCAGTACAACACGCATTCACTTTCAAGCAGCGAGTTGACTCGGTAGCACCAATGTTGCCGTGGTTGAGGAAGAATCAGTCGCGCGAGCATCTACAATGAAGAAGGAGGTGACGAAATGACCATTTTGCCCCCACTTATATTTAATTTAAAATGTATTACACTTTCCGACGAAAATTCACCGGTGATTTGGCCGGGAGGACCAAATCTGCTAAAAAAAACATAGTTAAAGGACTAAATTGTTAGTTTTAAAAGTCATGGACCGAAATTAACACGCTTCCTATAGTTACAGGACAAAAAGTGTAATTTTCTCTTAATTTTCATATAAAATTAATTTTTTTAAAATTTGGCGGGTCCCGCCAAGACCCACAGGCTTAAGGCGGCAAATTATGCTGTGCATCCGTATGCACCATGCATGGTGCATACGGATGCAAAAACGACGTCGTTTTATTAAAAACGCGCGTCTCCCTTAAAAAAAAAAAATCAGGTTCGATTCTCAGCAACAACATATGAACTAAAATTCCAAAATCGATGAACTATAATTCCATAATCGATGAACTATAATTCCATAATCGATGAACTAAAATTCCAGAATCTAATCTATGAACTAAAAATTCCAGAATGAATGAACTAAAATTCCAGAATCGATGAACTACAATTCCATAATCGATGAACTATAGTTCCATAATCAATGAACTAAAATTCCATAATCTATGAACTAAAATTCCAAATGAACAACATAATGCTGTTGTTGGGAATCGAACTTGAATTTTTTTTTTTATAAGGGGAGACGCACGTTTTTAATAAAACGACGTCGTTTTTGCATCCGTATACACCATGCATGGTGCATACGAATGCACAGCATAACTACTCGCTTAAGGTAGGGCGGGCCGGGCCAACCTACCTGAAGCCCGTATTTTGACGGACTTTTTAGCCCGTCCCCGCCAAATGACGAGCTTTGGCGAATCCACCCTGCCGGCCCATTTTGATAGTCTAGTTATAGACTTATAGGTTATATTTGTTATTATACCCCTTATTCCTTGCCCTTTCAAACAATGATTTTTGGTTTACGAGACAACAGACGGGAAAAAGGGAAGACACAGGGGAATAAGGTTCAACTGCGTTTGCTCAGACGGGAAAAGCGCCGACCGACCTCATAGCTTTTCGATGGACATCACGACTTGCCCCTTCTGCCATCTGAGAGTTCTTTCTGTAGAACTCGAAAGGTATATCCTACCCCCATTTCCACGCTTTTCTCCTGTTTCGATTCGTTCTACTGTTATCTATTCATATTCATCTGCTTGTATGTGATCATTGAACTCTTGACTAATTGCGTGATTATTTTTATTTTCATCTTCTGTAAATTAAAATCGAATTTCAGACATGCAAACAGTCACTTCGACGATGAAGACGTTGTTAACGATTTCGAGTTGGGACGAGACGTTGCCCTTGCTCATTCTATTTCGCCCCAGGTACTCCGCGAGTAAGCATTTTATATATGTATACTATTTTATGTATGTGTAGGCTACGCAATTTTAATTCCATAACCAAAGAGCAGGGGTTTGAATGTGAGGATTTATTTTTGTGGATGTTGGGGGAAAGGGCAAAGTAAAGACTGCCATGATCATGTTGGGCGGACCCTAATCAAGTCCAACAATTGGTGGGAAGGACCAAGTCCAGCACCAGGGTATCAAAAATGTGGTGGCAATATATAAGGAAATAAAGTTGTGCCTTTGCTATGAGCTATACCCGCTTGATCCTAACAGATTATAATTTTAAAATCATATAATTTCACCTCACCATTTCCTGGAATGGCCTTTCTTTATCTTATTTCATTATTACTTGTAGTTCTTTATTGGCAGTAGTGTCTAAACTGAACTGTTTATGATTAACCAGGTTAGTAGTGCAACTCTCCGTAAAACTGGTGCACGGGAAAGGCCTGAGAGTAGCTATTCAAGTTCTCGTATGGATGGTCGAACTTCTAAGGGGAGAGACTTGGGTGAACGAATAAGCTGCTTAGTCAATCTGCAGATGAAGGGATCTTTTTACCATGTTGAAGGAGGCATGATTAACATGCTGAGAAGCTGTTTGGAATTAGAACCTAAGAACTGTGTCAGTCTGTTGTGTGGTTATGTAGATCATTTTGAAAGCATTGCATCAGAGGATGTTGGATGGGGGTGTGGATGGCGCAATATTCAGATGCTCAGCTCTCATTTGCTCAAACAAAGACAAGAAGCAAGGAACGTTCTCTTTGGTGGCTCAGGGTTTGTACCTGATATCCCTTCACTCCAGAGATGGCTTGAAATTGCCTGGGAACAAGGCTTTGATATGGCTGGGTCGAAAGACTTTGATCAAGAAATCTATGGAAAAAGAAATTGGATTGGAACTACAGAATGTGCTACCCTCTTCCGTTCTTTTGGTCTTCGTGCTCGAATAGTGGATTTCTGTAGTAAGACAATTGCACCGAAGGTTTATGGACCTATGGACAAATATGTGTCCAAGTGGAAAAACAATGTTTCTGACCCTGTATCCTTTACACATGATGCAAATGTTAAGGGACAGGAGGTTCTCATTGATTGGGTGTGGAATTACTTTTCTGACCCTAAGTGTACAAGATCTGACAATAGACATGTCCTTGTCAGTCTGAAAGCGTAAGTGTATTTTTGAATGTTGTCATGATCTCATGGAACCCTTCACTGATTACTTAGAAGTGCAATTGCATGGTTGTGTTCTCAGTTTTATAAATTTGCAATGTCACACTCCATTGAGATCTCTTATAAGGTTTATTCTTCAGGCCATTGTACTTCCAACATCAAGGCCACTCAAGAACAATTGTTGGGATTCAAAAGAAACTTCAGAAAAATGGCTCAAAGCAATATAATCTTTTGATCTTAGACCCTGGCCATGTAAGTATGTTGATATCTGTTGAGTGCTACTTTTTTAAGTGACTCTGCAATTGCCTTTGCTATGTGAATTAGTTTTCTCCACATAATTGGAAATCTAGTTTTCTCTAATTCTCAATTTGGAATGTTTACAATTGAAACATGCAGAATTGGGTTATATTTTTAATTTTTCACTATTCTGTTTTGTTTGATTTTTTCCAGAACATCTAGTTGCCTTTTCTTGTTTCTGGTAGCTATTATCATTAAACAGGAATTGTTGTGATCATAACTTTCAGAGAACCAAAGATCTGGCAAAATCTCTCAGAGACAATGATGGATGGCAAAGGCTAATAAAAAGAGGTGTGCACACTCTGAGGAAGCCACAATATCAGGTATAAGGCATAGTTTACATCTTCCCAATGATTTCTTCTCATTTAATCTAAACACTTGATTTGCAACATATTTCTTTGTCAGTTGTGTTTTATTGATCATGGAGTCGCTTTTGGGGAAGAGGTTGAAAAACTGAAGAACTTACAAAGCATTCGTCATGAATTTTAGTCAGTTCCTAGACTTTTGTATTTCATTTCAAGCTTCAATATGTCCAATATGTATGCTTAAATCATTGTGGAATATAAATATTTGAAGGCACTTTGTCTCTTTTGCTTAGATGTTAAGGAATTTTATTACTCCATATATGTTTCATTTACTGGCTGAATCCCAAAGGACTGTTGATCTATTATGCATTGGAGCCTAACCAGTTTTGAGTTAATGATTAACATCTCAGGTTTTGCTATCAGGGTTGAGTGGCTTCTTATTTCCACAACTTTACCTTCGGCTATAACAACTATGGTACTTCAAACTCTGATTTGTATTACTTGTAAATGTGAGCCACCAAAGCTGTGCAGCTGTATTGATATCTGTGCGCTCACGCACTCACCCTTGCTCTATCTGGTAATACCGTGGGTTGACCTTTTAAGTAAATGCCATTTCTGGACTGTTCGCTGCTTTTCTCCACCAGAATAGTTGAGATCCTTCCTCCCCTATTCTGTAGCACAGTATCACATGCATCAGGCAAACTGCTTACAAATTCATGGATGCTTGCATCTTCAGAAACTCTTATTCTCCTATAGCAGATATGTATATGATTTAGCAACTGAATTGGATCCTGATACATTATACCTACCTCTGCAAATGACGTTTTAGGTTGTAATCATCAAGTATTTTCTATCAGTCAGAACTTTTGTTTCATCGATATCATAAAATCTCAGATTCTTGCCAGAACCAACATGAAAGACTTTACAACCCTCTGTTTTGAGTCTGAAATTGTGTAGTGCTGCTACTTCTGGCCTTGGATGTTTAATGAACCTTGGTATTGGATATTTAAGTTCCCTTTTGATGGCATGCCTTGTTTAGTTTATATACACCTGCCAAGTAATATGATTGCTGATTAAACAATGGGGGTATCAGGGTCTACAATTCAGTGACTATGGTACTGTGCAAGAATATCTGTGATGATCTTATGTGGTTCTCAAAGCTAGCTTGCCTTCTCTCAATTAAAATGCCTGTGCATAAATCAATTATATGTTGGGATTGTCTCATGCTTGAGGCTCTCTTTCCTGCGTCTATGCAGCAATTGCTTCAATGAAAGTCTGGTCTTTTGGAAGGATGTGCTCTTCAGGTGTCTCAGAGAAAGCTAATTTATTTTGCAGTTCAGACGCAACATACACTTCGACAAAGGTAAACATTCAGGTTGTTTCTTTGTAAAATGTGCTTACATATGCTAGAAAAACAAAAAGTAATATTGGAGGATGCTCCAAGAAGGAGGAGAAAGGTGGGATGGCTTCACTTGTGGTTTAATTTTCTTTCTATTTGGAAGTGATTTAGGTAGGGCACAGATCGAGGTTGGCAGATGAGTTCGCTTAGTATATGAGACAGTTTAAGGTAGCTAGAGAGGGTTGTTGAGATGAAGTACGAAAACATTTGTTAAGGTGGTTCAAGAGAGATTTCCATATTTGAGCATCCAGTTCAGGCTCTCAAAGGGGGATCTTACTATCAGCAGTGAGTTTCAATTGTCAGGGGAGCCAGCCACTCAGCAAAGATGGTTTAATTATGGCAGCTTCAGAGTAGTTATAATAGCCATAGTAATAACATCAAGCAATTAGCATATTCTGGAGAATCAAAATCATCCATGGTACGATGCTTCAGATTCAAGGTGTTGCAACAATTCCAATCAATCAAGGGTCTTTAGCTCTACAGCCTGTGTATGGAGACATGGAGGCTGCTTCCTCATTCAGTTATCTTTTCATCTCTACTGTCATTACTTCTGTTACTGCATTGATGTGCTGTATGTCCTAGAATGGAATGACATTTCTAGGGACAGACCTATTCCGTTGTTTGTTAATGCATTTTGTTCTCGGGAAATTGGGAATATGGTTCTTTTGGGAATGAGCCCACCCCTTCCTCCCCCTCGGTATTAGTTTTTTTTTTTTTTTTGAGTTTTCAGAAATAGCCTTATTTTTGTTTCCTATTTTATTCTTAATTCAATTTAAAATGTGTTTTTTTTTTCCTATTACAATTTTTATATTTTTCTTTCTAATTATTTGATTCTATGGTAAATGTATACTTTGTTTAATTTTTTTATATGATTTTTTATTTATTAGATTATGTTATGTGTGTGTCTATATTTATAACAGAACTAGTTTCTAACAATTATATAGGAGGTGGATAGTTTGACTTATGACAAAATGGACCTTGTTTTGTTAAACTCACCGATCATCATCATAATGAAGAGTTTTTTTTTCTCAGTCTTGATTTGATCAAAGACTACAGTTGAAAAGAAGATTCCTTACTAGCAATTAATTATTATTCAGATTTATATTTTATGGATATTAGTACTATTATTTATTTGTTTTGGAATTTATTATACATTATTAAAAACATTTGTATTGCTTTTGCGTATTTTGTTAGGAAAAAAAAAAAACCTTATGTCACTCTTCTTTTGAATATTATTAAATGTTATTCAAAAAATTTTTGTTACTCGTATGAACTTTTGTTATACATTATGATTTTTTTTACAATACTTTAGTTGATAATTTGATATAGAATAATACTTCGTATTATATAAAAATCTTATGTAACAATAACAATAACAATAATAATAATAATTTTGTTAGGAAAAAAAAAAACCTTATGTCATTCTTCTTTTGAATATTATTAAATGTTATTCGAAAAATTTTTGTTATTCGTATGAATTTTTGTTTGATAACCATTTATACATTATGATTTTTTTACAATACTTTAGTTGATAATTTGATATAGAATAATACTCTGTATTATATAAAAATCTTATGTAACAATAATAATAATAATATATATATATATATATATATATATATATTATAATATTATATTTTTATAGGATATTTATTACTTTTATTTAAAACCATGTTTCATTTCTATTTTTTGGACCAATCAAATATTGTAATAATATTCGTAAAGTCTATTCTTTCATAAACCAAACAATAGAATAAAATTTATAGTTTATTCATTGTCTAATCTATTCCTTATGGAATAACATTTTTAATCCCTTAAAATTAATTTAATGAACCAAACATGATGTTAGACTTTCTCATTCAGTGTATCTATGACACCTCGTTATTTTAAACCATCTTATTTTAATAAAATATTCTTAAAGACAAAATTTATTTTTCAATTCTAAATATTTTAGATAGAATGTTTTTAAAACAAATTATTTTGCTCCTAGATTTAAATAAACTATATTATAGCCCACAATTTTGTTATTCAAAATCTACCTGAGATGAGCCTAACAATATCATTTTATAAGTCTAAAATGTCCTAAGCCTAAATGATTTAATTTCCTAGTCCAATAATATTTTGTGAACCCAAATAAAAAATACTCAAGCCCAACTTATTTTATTTAACCCAAGTCTAAAACAAAATGAAACCCTAACTATATTGATAGGAGCGTTATGTTGTGCAACCGTATGCACCATGCATGGTGCACACGGTTGCAAAAACGATGTCGATTTAAAAAAAAAAATTCAGAATTGTATAACTACACATTCATAACTTCATAACTATACATCCAGAATTGCATAACTACACATTCATAACTTCATAACTATAAATCAATAATTGCATAACTACACATCCATAACTTCATAACTATACATCCAGAATTGCATAACTACACATCCATAACTTCATAACTATAAATCCAGAATTGCATAAGTACACATCAATAACTTTATAACTATACATACAGAATTGCATAACTACACATCCATAACTTCATAGCTATAAATCCAGAATTGCATAACTACACATCCATAACTTCATAACTATACATTCAGAATTGCATGCATAACTACACATCCATAACTTCATAACTATACATTCAGAATTGCATGCATAACTACACATCCATAACTTCATAACTATACATTCAGAATTGCATAACTACATATCCATAACTTCATAACTATACATTCAGAATGTAAAATTATAACTTCATAACTATACATTCAGAATTGCAAGCATAATTACACATCCATAACTTCATAACTATAAATCAAGAATTGCATAACTACATATCCATAATTTCATAACTATAAATCCAGAATGTGAAATTATAAAATTATGAACATATGTTTACGTAACTAACGGCAATCGAAAATGATTTTTTTTTTATTTAAGTAACATGGATGCACAACATAATTTGCCTTATAGATATGCTATTCATTTTATTAACTCCATTTTCCAGCCCCTTCATCTCTGTCTCCCTCTTCCACTGATCTATACTATCTATAAAAACAAAATCATTCATTTTAATTTTCCGCCCAAAACAGTTCTATACTATTTATGTTTGCGTAATATTATAAAATAGTGTAATAAAACTCCTAATGGAATATATTATTTCTTACTTTCCTATTCGAACTACAATTCAACAGTCCTATACTATTAATGTTTGCGTAATATTGTAAAATAGTGTAATACAATTCCTAATAGAACATATTGTTTCCTACTTTCCTATTCGTACTAGAATTCTACATTAAAATTCCTATTTATAATATAATACAACAATATTAAAATTTCTATTCTTATTCAACAATATTATTCCGTTAGTACTTCAATCTATAATCTATACTTCTATACTATATATACAAACAAAATCCTCAACTTTAACTTCCCGCCCAAAGCAGTCCTATACTATTAAGGTTTTCGTAATATTGTAAAATAGCGTAATATAATTCCTCATAGAATATATTGTTTTCTACTTCCTATCCGTACTATAATTCTACATTTAAATTCGTATTCTAATATTGTAAAATAGTTATTTTTTACTTTCCTATTTGTACTATAATTCTACATTAAAATTCCTATTCTAATATTGTGATGAAACTGTATGAAATTGTATATTATGAACTGTAGTTACAATGTACATGTAAGGGGAATATATATATATATACAAGAGGAATCATAGGGGGACTAGAATAGAGAGTCATACTATGACTCAAATACAAGAATCCTAATACTAGTCATAATACTCCCCCTCAAGCACATGGTATACTTGTAACTTGTAGCTTGTCTCTGAGAAAAGAAAATCTAGGACCAGACAATGCTTTGGTAAATATGTCTGCAAGTTGATCTTTGGTTGAGATGAAGTTAACCTGAATTTCTCCAGTAGCTCTATCTCGCACAAAGTGATAATCTATCTCTACATGTTTGGTGTGAGCATGAAAGATGAGATTGACACACATATATGTAGTTCCAAGATTATCACACCATAATTTAGGAATTGAAATACTTGGAACATGAATTTCTCGTAGAAGGGACATGATCCAAATTACGTCAGGACAAACATCTGCTAGAGCTTTATATTCAGCTTCAGTAGAAGATCTAGCAACAGTTCTTTGCTTCTTGCAAACCCATGAATAATAATAATAATTTAATAAAAGATATAAAATTTTTAAAAAATAAAATAAAATAAAACATATGGGGAGCTGAACGTTTGGTTCCCCTTAGTTTTGTCAATTTTCCCACATTGGTGGGAAAAGTGGCATGGGAGCCTTAAGGCTCCCATTTAAAAAATTAAGCTTGCCCATCCGTTGATGGGCAAGCAGTGAGCCAGCGAAACTGACTCTTGTTATAATGAGTCAAAATGGCTCTACGGTAAACTTTTTTTATTTTATTATATATATATAGAGCTGTTTTGGAGAAATCATTTCAAAAATGCTAAGTGAAAATTTTGTAAATTGCAATGTTTGTATTTTCAGTAGTTTGGAACAAATTGTTGCTTCAAACTTTTGAATAACCAAACACCTTCTTTAACATTTTGATCTTTAGGTTACATCATATTTACCAATTGTCCAATATCTTTGGGTTACATTATAATTATTAAAAAATTTATTTTTTAATACATCTAAATTCCTTAAATTAGAAATTTCTTTATCCAAAATAATTTATTCAACAATAATGTTTGAACTAAATGAAACACTGAGCAAAATACCTAAAGGACTGGTATTGTTAATTCATTCATTGATCTTGTATATATGTGCATTCATTAAATATATTAAAACTGTAAATGTATATTTTAATACATCCTGAATATTGGCTAATTTATCTGTAGAAATAAATTATAATTTTATTTAAGCAAAATGCACTTGAACCGTCTCCTATCAAATATCCCTATTCTAGTAAGTTTATGGTATTATTAAGTTGGGAGAATTGATTAACAAAGATGTTAATCTTTTTATGTGATTGTGGTTTATTCTCAAGAAAAGGAATTAACAAGTCAGAAGGG